TGAATACGACTCCAAAGTTGGACGTCACAGCCGATAACGATATTCCCAAAACGGTGCCAAAGACGATAAACACGATACAAAGGAGCAAGATAACATTTCCAGCATGTGGAAGAGAGGAATAACAAGCGCAGATCAAGACGAGGCAGGTGATGAAGACGTATTTGAGTGGAAGACGTCGAGAGAGATTTGAATGGAACACCGCGCCGAGGAATATGGATCCATTGAATGCAAAATGCAAATTGAAGAGATGTGCGGAGGAGATCATGGAAAAACAAGCAGAGTGTGAGTAGCTCAATGAAATGAAAGCAATCTGGAAAAAAAAAGATAGGAAGAAGGAAAAGGAAAGAATTGAATACCGAGAATCCGATCAATGCGTAGATCCACAAATGAATGAGAAATAGCGACAGATGTTTGGATGCAGTCTCTTTTGCTTCCACAATCCGGTCGAATATCGGTTTCTGAGTATGAATAAGAAAATTAGGATACCGTAAAACCTGCAATAGATGGGCTCTCTAACTTTTGACTTCAAGCAAATTTATCTCGATCGTCGTCAAAGATATAAACAACTTGTCAACTAATTAATTGTTTATCATGATATCACATACATTTTATCAGTCGACACCTTTTTGATACCTTGCATAGGAATCGAGATAATAGATCTCAAACTTGACAGTGTGTGGGGCCCTTCTATTACAGGTTTTACGGTAACAAAAAACTGAAAATCTCAACTGTATCAGAAGGAACATTCTCAAAACTGTCAGCAAAATCCAACTCTTCAATAGCCATTTTTTCGGAGTTTTGGTAGTAAATTATTTTTTGGTGAAGGTAAAATCAAACTACTAATCGCTATAATTTTCACTTCACTCAAAAAAAAAAAATAGAAAAACAAAAAAATGAAATAACTGAAATCCCCTCCTATTATTAGAATTGTATGTTTTCCTGTCTGTGAAAAGAGGACTCCAGAGACTTACCATCGCTGATGATAGCTTCGTAAACGCCATTCACATGAAATATTTTCAGATGAGGATGAAGTCTGAAAGTTTCGGATTCAGGCATTCAAGCGAAAAAGTACATAATATTAGGTTAATGAGGTTACAAATAATACGAGAAAAAATGTGACGAGATTAGAGAAAAAAGTTGTTTTTTGTCCTTTCCATGAAGTACGCATATGACTACATTTGCAGAAAAAATCCCCACAACTCATCTGATGATAAAATTGTAACTGAGTCACTCTCGAGTTTTTAGGGATCATAAAGATAAACGATTTTTGCACCGCCCATGGAATATGGGAACGAGGAAGTTTCATTGTTCTAGGGAAAAGTCTAGAAAGCTAATAGCGAATAAGAGTCACTTGTCTATTAAGTATTGTCTTCAATGAAAAACAAAATTTCGTTATCCTAAAGAAACTGGAACCTAACAAAGGTGATTCAAATCAAGTCTGGAGAAACCAAAGGTTCAATTTGAAAACCCAAAATGTGAGATAGAGTGTGGATACCTCATAATATATTTTCTCGATTGAGCATAAAAGTTAAGAACTTCGGAAAAGCTAGGAAGTGGTTCAAAGCAGTGTAAAAAAGTTAGAGCTTCCCTCGAACTCCCCCAGAGATTTTAATTTGATTCATAGGTAGTGGAATATTTGTTTTTATGAATCTGATAGGTCTTCCCAGTACATACTATTTTGAGATTACCGTAAACCAGTATTAGAAAGGCTGGCTCTTTTTTTGTGGGATCACTGAGGAGGGCACTTCTATTAGAGGGAGATCGTTTTAGGTTAAATTTTGGTTTTTTCTTTTATCAACAATTTCTTTTAAAAAAAACCTTGTAATTATAAGTTAGTCGCCGTAATTCACCAAATTGGTTTAGGGCACTTCAATTAGAGGGACCTTCAATTTTAAGGGCTCTTCTAATACTGGTTACACAGTAACTAAAAAACAAAGAACATGACAGTTTTTCAACTTCTGAGCTCACATATACAAGTTTCATCTTCTGAGCGAAGGATCAAAATTTCAATCTGAAAGTATCAAAGTCTTTCAGCCCACGGAAGCATTTCCGATCATAGCTTATCGTGTGTGAGCCGTAAGTCCGGAACACTTTTAAGCCACGACAGGAAATTAAAAATGTGAAAAACGAAAATCAAGAGTGGGGAAAAAGAAGGGAAATGCGCAACAAATTGAATTGTGAGGAAAAAAGGATTACCGATGCGTAATTGTTTTCCATCCGTTTTTTTTTCTAATGATTTGGTGTCTACTGTGTGACCTATGGATCTCATAAAAATGTTGGTGCTTTATGAATCTGATTGAGTTACTGGAACTGCTCAATGATTTGAAAAAAAAAGGTAGAGCATGAACGACACATAAATGAGCAGACGCCCAAGAAAAAATTGTGAAGAGGGTTGTTTTTGAGGTGTTGGCAAACTTCCAAAAATACTACAATATCCAAAAATGGAGACTTTGAAAAAATTTTGTGAAGCGATTCTTTTTTCAGATACTGCCACTATTTTCAGATACTGTAATACGAAATAGATGAGCAGCCACTATGTAAAGTTTGAGCTCAATGATCTCGATTCCTATCAAAGATATCCAAACTTTGTCAACTGATAAATTGTTTATCATAATACCGGAAATATTTTATCAGCCGACACCTTTTTGATATCTTGCACAAGAGCGGAGATAACATAGTTCAAACTCACGCTGTGTCAGAAAGCCTGGTCCAAAAACGCGCCCCAGCGAACCCCAAAATCTAGCTGAATTCGCTTCCGATTCTTGCTGGCTGAGGATCAAAGTTGTGAACGATGAGCGAAAAAAGCGCGCATTGATTTGATCTATTGATAATAAATAGATCAAATCTGCGTCCACTTCAAAATTATAAAATTTCTTCTGGCCTACGAGGGGCGCGTTTTCCGGCCAGGCTTCCTGACACACCGTGCAAACTGGACAGTGTGGGCTCTTCTATTAGATGTTTTACGATAAACTTTGTTCGAATTTTTGTGGTAGGATTTATATTGCACCGGGAAATAACTGAGATTATCTCACACAAAGTTCGAAAAAATTGTCAATGAACTAAGCCTGAAATTCTAATCCCAGCAGAAGATTCTTTGGTTTTCAACAAGAAGTGATGATGTATCATACAATGTATATTGAATAGAAAAATGAATTTATCTAAAAGTTCAAAATAGGAAAAAATCAGAAAAAAGACATAGAAGAAGAGAGCAAATGTTCTCAGGAATTAATTAGTTTATCCCAAAGCCGAAGGATTCTGGGAAAATAGGCAAAAAGATGGAAAAGAAGAAGCCAAAAAAGAACTGGACAAACAAATTGAAAAGGGTGTGTGGAGCGAGGATTAGATTAACATAAGAAATGGGCGGAGCCTCTGGGTGAAGATATTCTGATAATATAATATTTGGATAATCCGGGGAAGTGTTTGTAAAAAAGGAGAGAGGGATGGAAAATAGGATAAGAGAGAAGGGGGCTGGAGAAGGGGGATTGGTGACGTGGAACGAAACCCGTGTTCGAGAACAAAACTACTGAATTCAAAAAAAATTGAAAATGTACAGAACGATTTAAATGCACAAAGAAGTTATAGTTTCAGCTTTTTCAAGCAGTTTCTTCAAGCGCGAAAGATCTCTCTGTATAATAGGAAGAAAAACGAAATTTCATGGAACAAGAAAAAATAGAGTCGAGGTGTTTGATGTTTTGTTTATGGTGGTCTGGAAGGAGGAAAATAAGATCTGAAATAAATGCATATATATATTTATTGATGTGGTAGGAGGTGTCACCTGGAACGTCTTCTTATTTTTCAGATTATTCGTTTTTATTTTCAGACGTCATAACATTCTATTTGCATGTGTGAACTGCGACTTCTTCTGTGCATGTCTTGCATTTCACTTCGCAACACCATACGAATTTACACTCGCATTGTGTTTGACGGATCTGAAATTCGTTAGGGCTTAGAATTTGAAAAGTAATCAGAATAATTGTGAACCGAGCTTTGGCGGGGCTTCGCCGGCCCTGCCATCGTTTCTTTTAGGATCAGTATGTTTGGACCAACTAGATTAGGTATGATAGAACTTGACGAGCACTACAACATAATACTATCGTAAAAACTGTACCTTGTCTGTGAACAGAGTTATACGGACATAATGTTCATAGACAAGATACAGTTTCTCAAATAATATTGTTTTGTAGTGCTCGTCGAGTTCTATCATATCTAATCAAGTTGGTCAGAAAATACTGATCCTAAAAGAAAATATGGTAGGACCCATTTTACAAGAAGTATGGTATTTGGTTTTGACTCACTTCCAGTCTTGTGTTGTATCCTCGTCCACAGCAAAGTAGGTCACAACTCTCGGAGCTGTATGAATTATGTATACATTCGCGTCCAGAAGTTCCCAATATTCCTGAAACTATCTTTCTGGAACTCTCAGAATTTCATCTCAAATTACCTGCTGTCAAATTCCTTTCGCAGTAAGAAGGAGATCTGTGAACGTAAGCCATTTCGTTTCCTCTTAATGGAATTTTCCTCTCCGTTCTCTCTTTTCTCCTCAATCTCTTCGTTGCTTTTCTTGTCACCTGAAATAGTTCCCAAATTCATTTCCAACCATATTAGTAGCTCCTATGAGTTATGCTACGAATGTCATTTCCTAATTGCATGACATTGACTACTGTATTAATTACATCTTCGAGCTCGACCTGGACTGCGAAATGATCGTATCGCTTTTTGAGCAAATCGGACACTTGTGAGAACTTTTGCATCTGGAGCCAACACGTTTTGAACTCGCACGAGCCGGATACTCCATGACAGCGACATTGGCGACGAATGTTTTGAGCGATCGCCTGAAACTTTCGGTGTACCGAGAGAGTTTCAGTTTCAGAATACCTCTCTTCCCACAAAATTATTGTGTCTTCGAACGAGATGAGCAACATTTTTGGTTTCTTCGAACTGTTGTACCTCCCATTCATCCAGGAATCGTCTGGCATACCGTATTCCATATGGGACATTATCCGAGCATCCGCCCCATGAAAACTGATCACGACTCATTGCAGAATCCTTTAAAAGGTTGGTTATAAGCTTAGCGATCAGAATTTTTGAAACACTCACTGAATCTGCTTGATATCTCTGCATTCCTGGTTTGCTGTCGCATCCACATTCGGTTAGATTTCCAGTATTACATCCTTTTGTGATCGAATGAACGATACTCGCCGCCATTATGGCACTTAGAAATGCAGCTTCTTTGTTGGCTGAAATTCAGGCTATACGAAAAAAAATAGAGAAAAATACTTACATGATCTCAAAGTTTTACCCAGAATATCCTGAAATTTTCCGTGTCGAGTCTCTGTAACCTCATCTCGAGAAGAACAATTCCATCTGTAAGCACTTGTTAAATTATCATATCCTTTGTATAGTTCACTAATCACCTCTCAAACTTGAATTTATTCTCACATTCTCGAATCGCTTCCCGAACTCCTCTAGCCACAAATGGAATAGAGAATGGGTTCTCAGCACACATTGCCTGTTGATTTGGATTCAATCCATCCAATCGACGACATAGTTCTTTGAAATGGTCTCGATCGGAGGAATGGTAATGAGGACGTGGTAAGTAATCATTGGAACCCACGAATGCCAATGTTCTGAAAGCAAAATAAGAATGTTCAGCCATCTAATAAAATAATTTATTTTCCTGATTTAAGAAATTACCTGAGCTGGAAACTTGTGAGGTATGAATCATTAAATAACCGAAAAATCTGTGATAGAAGGGCTCCAACACCGTCAAGCTTGAGCTCAATTATCTCGATTCCTATGGGAGATATCAAAAATGTGTCAACTGATAAAACTTTTGGAACATTATGATAAACTATTTATTAGTTGACCATTTTTTGATGTCGCCTATAGAAAATGGGATATACGGGCTCCAAGTTGATGGTTCGGGTTACCTTCTATGTATTAAAGGTTATACGGTAATTCATGTTTCCTCATGTAAAAACTACCAGGCCTAAAAACCCCTGAGGAATAAAACTCGGAATTCGTTAAATGACGAATTCTAGGAACTTACAGCCAATTATATGGTACTTGAGGTGAGTTTTGATTTCCAGAAAGTGGTATGTGCTGAGCATAAACAAGGAGCACAAACAGAAATAGTTGAAAAATTGAAAACTGCATTGTCTGTCAATTTTTAGATTTTTAGAACAAGTCAGATGATCGGGATTGAAGTAACAGTGTTAACAAGGGAACCTCAACAAATTGTAAACGCAGATTTGGACAAAACTTTCAGAATAGGTTGAGAATTGTTTATCTAGACACTTTCAAAAATTTTCAAATCGCCAGTTTCATCAGAGTTATATCAGTTATAAGATAGAGGAGTTGAACAAATCTTCTAGGAAAATCTCGGTTTTTGAACTGAAAACGTGATTTAAGGGACTAAAACTTATGTAACTTGGCTGAAACTGCGAGCGGGTTCTGAAGTTTCCAGAATAATCTCAGTAGGTTACTTAGCCTATTCTGACATTTTTTCAAAAAGTTTGGGTTTACAAGGCGTTGAGGTTCCCTTGTTAAAATTCTACAGTATCCATAAAACTTTTTTAAAAATGTAGGAAAAAAACGATGGAATAGAAAAATGAAGGAAGAGAAAATGTGTTTGGAGAATTCGAAGGTCGAATTGATCGTTGCCTGGATGTGGTATATTCTCTTCTCCCCCAATTCATGCTTTATGGCCCGTGGATCTATTCAGATGATGGGAAGAAGAAGACATCGTCGGTATGCAAATAGAAGACGTCGAAATGGGGAAAAGGAGAAAAGAGAAGAAAAAGAAACGAATAGAGTCAATATTGAAGAAAAATCGAGAAAAATTGGACGAAGAAGTTTTAAGACGGTTTTTATCGTATTTCCTCCAATAGAAGCCCACGCGAGGTGTCAACTTTGAGCCCAATTATCTTGATTCCTGTGAAAGATGTCAAAACTTTGTCAACTGATAAATTGTTCATCATAATATCACAATTATTTTATCAGTTGACAAAATTTTGTTATCTCTCATAAGATTCGAGATAATTGAGCTCAAAGTGAATAGTTTGTGTTGCCTTCTATATATTAGAGGAAATACGGTATACGAAAATTTGAATTTAATCAAACCTACTTCCTTCAGATCCTCTTAAAAGAACCTACTGGATTTGAAAATTGTTGAAATTGAAAGCGAGAAAAGCGAGAAAAGTAAAACAGAAGCTTTGTGTTGAAGGGCGAGTCTCTGGATCCTAAGACACCTATTCGACACAGTTTTACGATCTCCTCACTGCCTCCAACCATCTGTCTCTGAGCATTTTATTGGGGGAATTAATCGGAAGAAAAGATTCAAAGGAGAGCAGCTTCTGGTGGTGAACAACCATTTTATGATTGGTGCGTATGACGCAGAGACTATGTTACACATCAAAATCACTTGTAAGGGGCTTCTAGAATCAAAGTTGATCCCAAATATACCGTAAAACCTGTAATAGAACGGCACCAGCATTGTCAAGTTAGAGCTCAATAAACTCTATTCTCATGCACAATATAAAAAATGTGTCCATTGATAAAATGTTTGTGATATTATGATCAACAATTCATCTGCTGACAACTTTTTTATATCTCTGACAGGAACCGAGAAAAATAGGCTCAATGTTAAAAATTAGGAGGCCCTTCTATTACAGGTTTTACGGTAGCCGCTTTTTTTACTCAACAGATTAATTGTTTTGTTCTCTTGAGCTCATATTTTCCTATTTTTGATACCTATAAATACTTAGGGACCACAGAAAACGGGGCGGAGCCTAATTTTTTCTCTATGGGGTGTTTTGGATTTTTGATTCGCTGTAACTATGGCTAGAACAGAAGGATCGATATGAAAATTTGTCTTTTGATGTAATCGATTGAGTAGAACTCGAATATGTAATTGTTTTCTATAGAAAATCTACACTAATAACTCAAACCAAAACTTTGAAAACTGTAGTTTTCGCGCCTTTAAAGATTTGAGCGGACTACAGCTGAGAGCTCAAACTCTCGAAAAAACGAGGAAATTTATATTAGAAATTCTTTTCGAAAAGTCGAAAGGTCGTCTGTAGAATGTTCTAGTTCTTTTCCCAAAATTCCATCTGGTTTCAATGTTAAACTCCCGTTCATGTTTTCCGGGTGCCAGGGCGTCACATTGTTAGTTTGAGTTAGTCAGCTTTCGAAAAGAGAATGGAGAGTAGCTAAAAATATTTTTTCTAAACCTTTTCTTCATAAAACAATACGGGGAACAATTTAAAACTTCTTTGACACGGGGGGAATTGAGCAGGTGGGGGTGATATATTATGCGAAAAGAAGGTTCTGAAAGCAAACAAGATAAAAGAACCGAGAAAAAAGAAAAAACATATAAAGCGAAGGTTCAAAATGAAGAAGTTAATAGTCATGGGGGAATGTTCTCAAAAAAAAAAACATAAAAACCAACAAAAAATCAAAAATTGGAAAAATTATTAAAAATTCAATATCCCTAAAGGACTCCTAAAAAGTGCGATCAAGATGTTCGGGTTCTGTGATATCCGGAGAAGAGCTTTGTGGAATTGAGGAAGTTATCCATGCAGGTTCGCCACCGATTCGGGAGATTATCCGTTCGAAAAGGGAGCTGGATTGTTGACTGAAAATATTTTGTTATAGTTTTTTCTTGAAACAATAACGAACCCTTCATCTGCTTTTGGCGTTTTCGTCATATGAAGCTGTGGACCTTCTCCCGATAAAAGAGTAGTTTCTGTTCTAGAAGACGTCAGTCCATTCATCGAAGGGCGGCGGATATGATCAGATGGAACGTAGTCAACGATCGTCTCGATGCTTCGTTTCTTTTTATAGCTGGAAAAAAAAACAATGACAATAAGACCTGAGTTTTCGTTCTATACCGTTCCCAATATCCCAACAGGAAGTAATCCACAAAGCCTTTCTCGAAAGCAAAAGAAACTAATGCGTTGATAAAAGCTACACCGATGATGAAGAGTCGGAAATAGATGTCAGGGAGATCAACGTTTCCAAGAGTCAACAGAACCAGCTCAGTAGGCCAAATTACGATGAACAAGCACAGCTGAAAAATGAAGATGTATGCTGAATAGCTATAAGAATAAACATACCAAAGTTGCGAATACTGTCAGTGCACACATAGGTTTGTTCGATAAAAGACTTCCACGGTATGGCTTTCCTTTTGAATAGACAATCGCGAGAATGATGTACTGGAACATGGAAACACAGAAGAGAGCAGTTCCTTGCATACTTCTTTTGTCCTCCACTTCATCATCGACTGGTGGTTGGTATGGAGTGAACCATGATTGTTGGGCTGTTAAAATGAAGACTGTAAACTGAGCGATACCAATAATGATGAGCTGTCCGATCACAGAAGTCATTGAAGCGATAGAGAGAAGACGAGTTGGTGGAGACGTGTGGGCTAGACGATGAAAAGCTGGCGTATTTCCAAAAAGCAGAGCGAACATTGTAATAAGGAACATATCGATGAACATGAATTGTCCGTCCGTGAGGATGTTGGAAATCCAATACAAGTGCATGACTGTGACAAATTGAGTTAGTGAGTATCCTGCCATATATTTGAAAATTCCAAACGAGGTGACGAGTGCAGCTCTTCCTTCGCTGATTACTGTAGGCACACAACGAATGTCTGGTACTTTTGAGGTGAATGGAGCAGCAATGGAAGCTTCGGCATCGGAGAGTGAAATTCCTGCGTGTGCAGCTTTTAGCGCAGCGCAATCGTTAGCTCCATCTCCACACATAGCGACGGTGTAATCGACTGCTTGAAGTTGCTCTACAAGCAATTGCTTCTGATCAGGTGCCATTCTAGCGAACACGTCACAGACGCAACACAGTTGATCAACCAGTTCGGGATATTCGTGCACAATTACAGCGAAAGTTGGTCCAGATATAGCCAAATGATAACTGCTAGCAATCAGGTGATCAAGGTTTTCCGTTGTAACTGCGTTTGGCATTTCCACTTCGGTGTTTGTTGGCGAAAATCCATCATTCTCTGACGATCCCTTCCATGTTGAAGAACCCATCGAAACAGAAACAGATTCATCATCTTCTATTACTTCGTCCGACGAGGATACCGACTGAAAATATTTTAATTTAGAATATTCGAGAGGATCAAAAAAGTACCTGTTTGATTATTAGCTTTGTTCGTCCATACTGATCGAGTTCTCCAGGAACGTGCTCCACCAGGAACGCTCGTTTTTGGGGTCTTATGATTCCACACTCGCGAGCAACCGAAAGTCCAGTGAGTAGGTTATCTCCAGTCACCATTACAGTTCGAATATTGGCTCTGTTCAGCTGATTGATTACTCCTAATGTTACTGGCTTCACTCTATTCTCCATGACCACCAATCCGAGCATTTCCAGATCACATTCCACCGAGTCACGCTTCACTTTTGATGCTTTATTGAAATTCATATCGAGAGGACGACGGGCGACAGCAATCAGACGGAAGCCATGTTGAGCGTATGCATTCACTTGGGTCTGAAAATTAGAATCGATTCTGATCTCGAAAATGTTCTATCAGTAACTTACTAGATAATCTTCTGGAACAGTTTTAGGGTCGCAGAGTGATAGAATCATTTCTGGACTGCCCTTCGAGAACAGCATCATATTATCAGGTCTATCTTCACTTGGATCGAATACAATCACAGACATTCTCTGTAGAGAAGAAGAAAATGTGAACTGTCGTATCACAGAGTATTCAGCTTTCTCATCATCCGAAGGCTTGATTATGGACGGTTGAACATTATCGAATCGTTGAGTTTCCTCTTCTATGTCTCCAACGCCTTCTTCCATTGTCCACCCAGTTTTTTGAAACAGAATCAGATCAAGTGGGTCGCCATGAAGAACTCCGTTGATCCTGAAAATGTTTATCAGAATCAGAAGTTGATAAGAGCAAACCTTGTGAGAGAATGGCACGTTGCAATCGCTTTGACTAGATCTCCATCGAAAGAGAGTCCATTTCGACTAGTTAGCTCAGTCATCTCTTCCATAAAACTTATTGTATTCTCTGTGTTATTCTCTTTTTTTGAAGCCTTTACCGGCCGAACTACATGAAAATCGAGCCCGTCTTCCGTGAGTGTACCCGTTTTGTCGAAACAAACCTGAAAATTTCAGTCTTGTGTAGGGATAGGGTAACTTTTGATATATACCACGTTAATAGCTCCACAAGTGTTAATGGTAGATGGAGAAATGCAAAAAATTTCCTTCTTTTTAAGCCGTAGCTGTGCATTGATGATCCCGACTGACATGGCAGCTGAAATGTATGGGTGGAAAACTGGTATTCAGAGAAATCGTCTACCTGGAAGTGCTGGCGGTACTGTGATTGTGATGATGTCCAAAGAACGAACAATGATCCTCCGAAGTGTATTTCCTCGCATAATCATAACCACTATGGTATATAGAAAACCACAACCCGAAATGCATGCTAGGAAAAGAATGAACTGAAATTCAAATTTTGATCAGAAGCCCCTTCTTCTTAAAAAATTACTTTGAATAAGTCTTTGGTGAATCTGAAGTCTACTGGTTTTGGGTACATGATGGATCTCACTAATTGCCCTTTGAGAGTGGAATACGCAGTTCGGAGAACGATGGCCTGAAAATAAATTCTCTGGGATTTTCATTTTCCTATATTTCTGAATGTTTCGATTTCCAAGGAATCCTGTTCATATTACCAAGTCAACACTTTTCAGGAAACCAAGCTTTTCCTACTTCATTTTGCTTCTAATCTCTCTGCATTATCATGCATTCTCCTTTATTCCGTTTAATCACCTACTCACTACTCGTTTCCCGATTTTACGAGCCTGCCGCCACCTTCTTTCACTTTTCTCCTAATCAGATTGATAAAAGAGAAACCGGTTACGACTTCGCAGTAATCAGGTCATTAGTGTGTCCGAAAGTGAGTATAAAAGGGAGAAGAATGATAATATTTTCAGAATCCAGTCTCCGGATTCTGAATACAATGCAAGTGTCGTCAGCGACGTTTGTGGCAAGCAGTCTTTCTGCGATCGCCCTTTTGTCATGCCTTTTCGTCTTGTCTACAGTATACCAAAATGTTCAAGACTATTGGACAGAACTAGATGAGCAAATGGTGGAAGTCAGAGTAAGTGCTATGACTTAGGATGTCTTTATATGTAATTTATTCGTACAGAAGGATATGGATGACATGTGGCGTGAGATCTTGCACATTCAATCAAATGCTCTTGGATCAGTTTTCCGTGCTAGACGTCCAGCTCGTGGTGCTTATGAAGAAGGTGACTACAAAGAAGCTCCACCGCCTGCAGCATACAACCCTGGATACGAAGAATCTGCTGCTCCAGCTCACGACGTAGGAGCTCAACCTCCCGCAGGACCAGCACCAACGTCTCCAGAATCTTGTCAATGTCAAGCTGAGAACAAATGCAAAGCAGGTCCACCTGGCGCTAAAGGTTTCCCCGGTCTTCCAGGACCGAATGGTGTACCAGGAGTTGATGGAAAACCTGGTCATGATTCTCAAGACGTTGAGCCTCAATCCCAGAACACTGGTGCTTGCTTCCACTGTCCTCAGGGACCACCAGGATCTCCAGGACCAATGGGTCACCCAGGTCCACGTGGAATGAAGGGAGCCGACGGGCAACCAGGACAACCAGGAAAGGATGGAGATCCAGGAAAACCTGGAGAGATTGGACCAAATGGATTCCAAGGCAAAAAAGGTCCAGATGGCATCCCGGGAGAGAAAGGAATGGACGGTCGCAAACCAATCGGAAGACCTGGACCAAAGGGACAAAGAGGAGAACAAGGACATCCAGGACCACAAGGAACTCCAGGTCATAATGGACCAACTGGTTCAGCTGGTGATCCGGGACCACAAGGAGGACAAGGACCACAAGGAGAGCATGGACCAGATGGAGGACCAGGAGAAGAAGGAAAACTTGGTAGACCAGGACCGGATGCGTGAGTAAAGAGAGCTTTCTCATCAAAGCTTAATATTAGCATTTTCAGCGAATACTGTCCATGCCCCGCCCGCGGATCTCATGGAGGATCGTCAGGAGGAGGTGGTGGATCTGCTGGAGGGGAATACAAAGCTACCGGAGGCGATTCTTACCGAAAGAAGAAACTTTAACTCTGACTCATTTTTGCATGTTCAATCGTTACCTTCACTTTCTTTCCTCGATAAAAACGAGTTTGAAGAACTTGAGTTCCACAAAAAAGCACATTCTTCGAGTTTTTCTCCATGGTAAAAATCGAATCGTGGGTTTCGTCTGTGAGAGCAACCTGAAAAAAATTATATTGATCTATTTACTAGTGATTTTTACTCACTTTTGTAATTGGAACTGATTCACCAGTGAGGACACTTTCATTGACGATTACTGTACCGTTCATCAGAACTGAATCACATTGCATGAGACATCCGTGTGGTGGAATGAGAAGGACATCTCCAGGAACAAGCTGAAAATGTGATTATGTGATAAGGATTACTTTATCCATTTTTACCTGGTCACTTCCAATAATCTGTTCATTTCCATCTCGAATCACTTCAACACTTTCTGTAGAATGCACCATGCTTCGGAGTCTGGAAACCGGAAACTAGCTAACAATAATTACAATAAAAATCAAGCTTACCGTATTTCTTGAGTTCTAATTTGATAGACATCCATCACAATCGATCCAAGTGAGAGAGCAACAATCAGAGATGCATAATACGCGTATTCGTCGTTGTACCAGACAGTGACACTGAAAATAACCCAGGTTCTTATTATTTTTTTATTTAAAAAAATTACCTGAAAATCTGAAAAACGTAGAAAGGAGTGATGACTTCCATGAAGAGAAGGTACAAAATTGGACGCAATTGAACCACAATCTCGTTTCTTCCGTAGAACTCCAAACGCCTCAAGATTTCAGAAGACGTTAAGCCAACATTTGCTTCAGAGACTGCTAGAAATGATCGAGAAGGAATTTTGTCGGCAATATCCGACGATGGTTTCCAGCAGCAGTCCTCATCTCCGTCATTTCCATCGAAGGTTTCATCGCCAATCCAAATATATTCTAGTTTTCGATAAAGGAACCAACGGAGCTCAGGAACCTTCCGCATTTCACCATTTTCCGTAGGAATCATCTGAAAAATTTCAGAAATTTCGGGATTCTTGAGATTTTTCAGCAAACCCCTTTTAGCAAACTCACAGTTTCCGTTTTCCTTAGGACCGGTTGAAGTTCGGTCACATTGTGGTTGTCTCTGAAAAATTCAATTAATTATATACTCGGGGCTTTTGTAACTTGACTTACACGATGAATACATACTCTGCTGCTTCAAATGTGCATGGGACCATCCGTACTTTAACATTCCACTTTTGCTTCCAATGCAGTATCAAGCGAAATATTCCGAGTGTTAAAAATGTCAGAGCATAGAACAAAACCTGGAAACCAAGAGATTTCTAGTTAAATATTTTCCAACTCACCGTTTTTAATGGTCCCGTTCTATAGGCGAAGAGCGTTAATGTGTGATCTCCGGATTCGAGAGTCATTCGGTGGCGTCGTGCGCCACCCGCCTCCACCATGCCCAATAGTTTCTGTGGGGTCTCGCCGAAAAACCACACCAAAAGGCGAGACTCTGAAAATATTGAGATCAAGAAATTGAACTGAGAAAAGTGGATGAGGAATGTAGAAAAAACTAAAAGTCAAGGGAAAGATTGATATTTGTTTTTTTTTCGCCTACACAATAAAACATGGGAATCAATTTTTTTCAATCCGAAATTTTGGATTTTTTTCAACTGGGTTCGTGTGGACTGAGTATATTTTTGAAACAGTAACTGAGAAATCCTTTTTTGCGGAGACATCAGGTGTTAAATTTAAAGAAAGAAGATGGTTGAGAGAGGAGAGTATAAGTGTCAGTGATTTGATGGATCACCACCTAAACAGGAATTTTTGAAGAGATAGAGAGAAAGAGATCTATATCGTTTTTTTCAAATGTGTTATGGGGAATTTCGAAAGTTGAAGCTTGAAGAAGTTTTATGGCTTTTGAAATTAATCAGATGCCATGTAAATTTCAGACAATTTAAAAAAATCGGCAAGACAATGCGATAGCGATAAATAAGACAATGAAAGGGAAAAAATGATATAAAAATGCCCGCATTTTCTGCCAGGTCGCTTGCAAATATTTAACGGAGAAAGTGAGGAGAAGCCTGCGAGAAGAAGCATAGCAGGTTTATACAAAATGACGCAGACATGCAAACAGAAAGAGAGCTCTCCACCACTATTTTTACTGCGGATATCTCCAAGAAAATGAGAGTTCAAATCGGGAGACTCTGTTCAAATGGGAAGACAAATGTGGAGTGTTCTATGAATTTTCCCTGATTTTTAACACAAAAAAATGTTGAACACATAAAACACATTTTTTGCATGCATGAATAGGTTTAAAAAACACAAAAGCACACTTTTTATGTCATGAATGTCAAAAACTTCCCCAACCAAAAAATTCAAGAAAAATTAAGTACTGTATTTTAAGGTGCATCTCTTATATTTTCCAAAACTTTCAAAGCGTCTACCGTAGTTCTCACAGCGGCTGTTCGCAAGTGCGCTCTAGTGGCCACTTGAAAATTTTTTCGAAAAGCTTTTCGAAAAAAGTTTTTTCTGGGGTTTATAGTATACTTTTTGTTTTTCAAAGATTTGCTCGAAATGGGAAGAATTTTAGACTCTTTAACTAAAACTTTGTCTGGATTCTTGGTTTTTCTTGTGCTGAACATACACTGCAATTTATCACCACCATTTTTAGATCCAAAATGGATTTCTTCGATGAAATGGCTGGTGATGGGAATGATCAAGCGGTTGAGGTAAGTTTTTAGCTGAAAAATTTTTAATAAAACGTATGTTTTGAAGATGGAAGCAGCGCCAGTGGATCCGATGAAGAAGGTATTTTAGAAAAGGGTTATTCAAATGCCAACGATTGTATTTTAGCTCGAAGAAGATAAAAAACGGCAAGCCCGAGATCAAACTAAAAATCTACTGGCTGATATGAAAAGAGACGGAGGTGGTGTACATTTCGACGAGTTTACTGCTAAACGAGCTCGAACTGAGGAAGCTAAAGAGGATGCTGTCGTTGAGAGACCGATGGAAAATATTGTTGTTCATACAATCCAGACGAACAGCGAAAACTGTACGCACGAAGTTGCCATACCACCTAATGGCGAATTTACTCCATTAAAGGAGAGTTCTATTGAACCGGCAAAGTACTATCCATTCCAATTGGACGCATTCCAGGTAATTTTAGAAAAAAATGAGTAAATCAAATCTTGAATTTTTAGAAGCAAGCAATTCTATGCATTGAAAACAACGAATCAGTTCTCGTGTCGGCTCACACATCTGCTGGTAAAACTGTGGTTGCGACGTAAGTTGATTTTTTGAGAGCCATCTTGTAGAGACACTGTTTACAGCTATGCGATTGCACAATGTCTCCGAGAGAAACAGCGTGTGATTTATACTTCTCCAATCAAAGCACTCTCCAATCAGAAATATAGAGAGTTGGAAGAAGAGTTCAAAGACGTTGGTCTTATGACAGGAGATGTCACCATTAATCCAGATGCTTCATGTCTTGTTATGACTACAGAAATTCTCAGATCCATGTTATACAGAGGATCGGAGATCATCAAAGAAGTTGGTTGGGTTGTTTATGACGAAATTCACTACATGCGAGATAAAGGTAATATTAGAAATATTTTTAAAAGTTTAGTTTAAATAACTGTTAAAAATATCAGTACATCATTTTCATATTTTATGTTTTGAGACAATTTAAACGTAGTTTTTGCAGTGTCTGAAAATTTTCAAACTAAATTCAACTGAAATTTCAGAGCGCGGAGTAGTTTGGGAAGAAACAATCATCTTGATGAGCAACCATGTAAAGCAAGCGTTCTTGTCCGCTACAATTCCAAACGCAAGAGAGTTTGCTCGTGAGTTTCTTCTTATATTTTCTTTATTATAGCCTATTCTCGTTTCAGAATGGGTCTGCAGTTTAAAACAACAACCTGTGAATGTTGTCTACACAGATTACCGTCCAACTCCACTTCAGCATTTCATTTATCCAGTAAATGGGGAAGGAATGTATGAAGTTGTCAATGTTAAGGGTGAATTCCGTGAAGACAAGTTCCGCGATGCTATGAGTGGTTTGGCAACAGCTGGAGACTCAGCGGGAAGCTTCAATCAAAGACGATCTGGGAAAGGAACTTCTGGAGACTCCAACGTGCTTAAAATTATCCGATCAGTTGCTGCTAACGATGGTCTCAACTGCATCGTGTTCTCATTTTCAAGAAAAGAATGCGAAGCTTATGCGCTGAGTCTGAAAGACATGGATTTTAATCAACCACAAGAAAAGTTGATGGTAAAATCGGTTTATGAAAGTGCGATTTCACAGCTGTCACCAGAAGATCAAAATCTGCCGCAGATTACAAATGTAACTTTATTCTTTGGTAATCTATAATTTATTTTTGAATTCCAGATTCTCCCAATCCTCAAACGCGGTATTGGAGTTCATCACTCTGGTTTGATGCCAATCTTGAAAGAAACTATCGAGATTCTGTTCGGCGAGGGACTTGTGAAAGTTCTTTTTGCAACTGAAACATTTTCGATGGGGTTGAACATGCCTGCTCGTACAGTAGTCTTCACCTCTGCTCGAAAATATGATGGTACTGAGAATCGTTATATTTCGTCCGGAGAATATATTCAAATGGCTGGAAGAGCTGGAAGAAGAGGAAAAGATGATAGAGGAACCGTTATTCTAATGGTAGACTCTGCGATGTCTGCGGTTGATGCCAAGCAAATTATTAAGGTTTGACATATGTTCCCTATTGATATATTTATAGAAAACTGTTTGTAGGGAGCAACGGATCCTTTAAACTCTCAATTCCGTCTCACATACAACATGGTTCTCAATCTGATGAGAGTGGAGGGCATGGCTGTCTCACATATTATCAGCAGCAGTTTCCATCAATTCCAGAGCTACGCGAAAATTCCAGGCATCGACAAAAGTGATAATTTAATTTAAATTTTGATCCAGACAGATTTTTTCTTTCAGAGTGTGCTGAAGCAGAAAAGAAAATCAACTCCTTCAAGTTCCCATGGGAAAATGAAATGCGAACCTATATGGACCTGGTAGATCATTTAGCAAGAGTTAAGCAGGAAATTGTCAAGACCCAACGGGAACCCAGATATATTGTTGGTTTTCTCCACGCTGGACGTCTTCTAAGCGTACGAAAAACAAAGATAACCTTGCAAATTTAATGAAATATTTACAGATCAAATCCGGCGACAGAGATTTCAAGTGGGGTATCCTACATAACTTCAAAAAAGTTGTAAACCCAGAGGACAAAAATGATTCGATGTAGGTGTTTTTAGAACTCTTTGATCATTATTTTTAAATGTTCAGCTTCGTTTGTGATATGATTCTCGCTGTGGAAAAAAACGGCAAGTATGATGCATCAAATCCTGCCACTCTTCTACCAGGTTTCGATTCGAGAAATGTATGATTTCAAACGAGACAATCCAGAAGTTTCGTCTTTTAAAATTTCAGCGTACCTGGGAACGAGTTTCGATGACGCTTGACAAAATTACTGCTATCTCAGCTATTCGCCTCAAAATTCCAGAAGTCATTGATGATTCTGGAAAGAAACGCATTGATGCGGCGGTGAAAACTGCCATGGAACGATTGGGCGGCGAAATTCCACTTCTTCATCCAATTGATGATATGAATGTGAGATTTTTCATTTAATAAAAACCAATTTCATCATTTCAGATCAAAACACCGGAAATAAAAAAATTGGTTGACGATGAGAAAATATATAAAGAACGAATTGAGAATCATACGATTAATAAGGCTGCCGACTTCGAGGATCGCAAGAAACAATTTGAGAAAAAATTGGAAGCTATCAAAGAGTTTGATGCCTTGAAAGCAGAGAGAAAGAGTCTCCAAAGTACATTGCATTTGGAGGAACTCACCAACAGAAAACGAGTTCTCAGACGATTGGAATACCTTAATGCTGATGATTCCCTCCAAATCAAGGTAGCTTTAGATGTAAACACAGGTCTTTTGTAATTGCTATTGCTTCAGGGAAAAGTCGCTTGTGAGCTTTCGGCATCGGATGAGTTAATTCTGACCGAAATGATTCTGAAAGGAGTATTCAATCCACTTGACGTAGCACAAACTGCATCTCTTCTCTCATGTTTCGTTTTCCAAGACAATTGTGCTGCACCCAAACTATCTGCTGCATTACAGACATGTTTGACCGAGCTCCATGTAAGTTTTCATCACACACAAAACACATTGGTTAGTTTTATTTTCTAGGATCAAGCTCGTCACGTTGCAAAAGTGTCAAATGAATGCAAAATGGAAGTTATCGAGGATAAATATGTTAATAGTTTCAATCCAGGACTGATGGACGTTGTCTCTCAATGGGTGAGCGGAGCATCGTTCAATGATATTGTCAGAACCACCGACGTTTTTGAAGGTACCATTTTTGAAGATATTTCGAAACTCAAATTCATATTTTAGGGTCAATCATTAGGTGCCTTCGCCGTTTAGAAGAGGTTCTTCGTGAAATGATCAACGCAGCGAAAGCTCTTTCCAACAAAGAGCTAGAACAGAAATTCGAAGATGCTCGAAAGATGTTGAAGAGAGATATCGTTTTCGCTGCATCTCTTTATCTTTAATCTATTGTTGTTGCTTATTTTATTTTGTTGTTTTTTCTGGTGGTACGACGGATTGGAGATTTTCTAAAATGAAACTGTAGCAAAATGAACATTTCCTAAATCAAAATGGTTCCAAATTGAAAACTGTGCGAAATCAGAACTGCCCGGAAGTATAAATTGGACGGTACAGAAATGCCTAAAGTGAAATTGTCTCGTTTTGGACAGCTGTTAGCGCGAGCGCTCTATTGCTAACAGCTGTCCAAAACGGGACGTTCTACTTTAGGACAATTCCACTTTCGCCTTTTCTGCTTTCGGACAGTTTTCATTCCGTAAATTTTTCAATTTGGAAGTATTTCGATTCAGAAACATTTCATTTTGCTACTATTTCATTTTGGGAAATGTCTGATCCGTCGTACCACCTTTTTTTCTATGTCAGCAAGAAAATGACTCCCGTTTTTTTTCATTGAAATACTAAACTTGTTCATTTACTACTACACAATTCGCGATGAAATCAAATTTTTGTGCATTGTTTTTCCTTCTCACTAGCAGGATTTGCAACCAGCGTTCGAATGAAAAACGATTCGAGTTTTGCAAATGGCATTTCGAAAACGAGTGTCCATATTACTGCGAAACCACAAGCGGCAACAACAGACGGTACTACTTTCGTAATATACTGAAATATTTGGGGATTACTTGGGGAGATCATAGTTAACCTACTGTATGAAATGCACCCACAAAGTGAGGTGGAGATCTTTCCATATTGAATAGACCGTTGACTATCAATATATGACACAAATAAGCGCAGTAAGTTAGTTTTCCAAGTGGAGTCCAAAATGGTAATGACATAAACTTTCCAATTAGACCTGTAAAGAGAAACAGTATTATTCTGGTACAAAAATATCGGAGTGGCCGTGGCCGAAGGTCTCAAAACGATAACTACAGTAACCTAAAAATATTTTTATTTTCCGAATTTATTTTCTCGTCGAGTTTTCTGTTATTTTTTCCCTTAAAAAGTCGGAAACAATTATGACAGTGAAAAATTGAATGGAAACGCGTGAAAATAAATCCGCAAAAACTAATTTTCAGATTACGGTAGTTGTCGTAGTGGGACCACCAGTCTCATACAAAGGTCTAACTTTCTCAACTCGAATTTTTCAGACTACCAAACTCTTTCGACCAGAAATGACATAATATTCGTCTGGTGCGTTTTCCAGGTCAAAAAGTTTGGTGGCTTAGGAAATCATGTTTGGAAAATTAGGCCACCAAAGTGACATTTCTTTGGTGAAAAGGCTTGTCCTTACCAGATTGTCCTCGATTAACTGCGAAAATCAACCAACAGAGAGAAATGGACCAAGCTATTCGACTAAATCCATAATAAGTTGCTTTTTGAAAGATCGTCCAACTGTCTCCTTTATTATAACTGTGAATTATGAAAATGGACGAAACTGATAGAAAAGCCGACACTATCCAGAGGCAAAAGACGGGTCCCTGAAATTTAAGAATTCGAGAAATAATACTAGAACCCTAAAGTGTTACGTTGTTCATTTCAATCTTCATATTTCTAGTTTTCAACATCATATATCCCATACAAATTCCAAATATGAATGGAGGAATTCTGATATAAGCCGCTTCATAAACTAGATCTTGGAGTACATGAATTATGTGATCATCGCCTGTCATGCTGAAGTTATAGACGTTTTGTAGTTCTAAGATTCAATATAACTCACTATGCTTGAATCAGTGTCAAAGGAAGATCAAAATGGAAAAATAGCCAATAGTTGAGAAGAATTGAAAACAGAATAACTAAGGAGGAAATGATAATTCCAGGTACTGGTCCAAGAAGAAATCCAATTAGAAATAACGGAGAAACGAGGTACATTTGAGTGTCAGCTGCCATGTACCATGAAATTGAAAGACACTGAAATATTATAGAAATTCGATATGCTGTATTTCTCATAATAGAAGCCCCTAAACCAACAACCTTGAGTTGACCACTTCTTCATATCTTGTAAGGGAATCGAAATAAAGAAATAGTTGAGGTTGGGGTGAGTTTCTATTAGAGGAAATACGGCATTTTCACAGATGCCCCAAAATCTCAAAAAAAAAAAATATATTCTCACATTTTTTCTCGGTTCATAAATATTGTTGATATAAAGCAAATTCTTCCATCCATACTTTTTGCAATTTTCCATATCTTGTCTTTGAACGATTTCATTTGGTCCAAAATCAGTCTGAAGAAGTTTTGCATTCAAACCGTCAACAACTTGGAGCTCAATTATCTCGATTTCTGTGAGAGGTATCAAAAATGTATCAACTAATAAAATATTGGTTGTATTATAATAAATAATTTGTCAGTTGGTGACTTTTTGATATGTTTTACAGAAGTCGAGATAAATTGGCTTGAAGTTGAAAGTTGAAGAGTACTTCTATCAGATTGTTTAAATCAATTCTCTTACCAATGGTCCATATGTGGCATAGAAAAGTATAAAAGTAAGATAAGCAGGTGTCAAACGAAAGATTCGGTGCCAATAAAAAATGACCCATATCATTGGAGACTTTGCTTTTCAAATGGTTAGTTTCGGAAGGAAAGAGTAGGAAAGCATAAGTCCGGATAAGAAAAAGAATGTGTCAACTGAGAAAAACGCATTGATCCAGATTTCATAACTTCTTGTTTTCAAAATATCAATTAGTTGCATCGGATTATCAGCGTTCTTCCAATCACCCCAGATGTGTCCGGACACAACCCAAGTGAAGCTGATAAACCTTAACCAAATGAAAATGATATTTCTGAAAAGTAGAAACATTTTTTTTAACTCTACCTGATACACTCTACTCCTTTCAGATTGTTTGGATTGTTTGAAATTCTTAAGAGGGATCTTCCATTTGTGAGCTAGAGAATGCCAATAAGAACTTGAGACTTCCATCATCTTCCTCATTTGAAGTCTTCTTTAGTTGTTTTATCTTTTCCCTTTCAATTTCATGATAATAATCGAACACAGTTGCAAAAAGACAGATGAGTACAATAGTTCCAAGTACTACTGTAACTATCCAAAACAAAAAATCCGGCTGAAAATCCACTGGACGACAGGTGACGTCACAAACAAATTTGTCCTGATCCATTGAATTGTTTAGGTATTGGTTTGTGGTCATCGGCAGAATTCTCAAATGGTTCAGAGCCAATTTCAATTCAGATTCTGAGCAACTGCGAGGCATACAAATGCTCACTTTGAGATCAGTTGGTTTCCCAGCTCCACAAGTGGTTGACATAGTTTTCTGGAAGCTTTTTTCATTTCTGGACCAAAATTTTAGTTTGAAACATTTTAATTAAAATCTCACAACAGAAGTTTCGGACTTTGCCAGTATTTTCTCCACCGATAAGTTCAGATGAGCCCAACAAAATTGAGTTCTGAAATGATTTATTTAAATTTGGAAGTTGAATTTTAGAAGAAACTGACTGAAAAGTCTTATCATTTGGATTCACGACATCCAAACATTCATCATAATCTCCCATCCAAACTTTGTTGAAACCGAGTAGATTTGAAGGAATTTTACCGAAAGAGTCGAGCTCTTAAGAATAATAGCAAACGAGTTTAAAGGCAAAGGAATCTGAATCTTACGGTATAATGAGTAGATGTGGTCGTGAACTAATTTCTTCTTTGAATCTTGACATGACTTGCTTGAATCTTCACAAGGTACTATTTCCGAAGATAGTATTTTCAGACCTAGAAACCTTTATACCGTATTCTCGCTTATACCCACCGAATTTTCTCTAATAGAAGCCTACCCAAACTGTCAAATTTGCGCTCAATTATCTCGATTCTTGTAAAAAATATCGAAAACTTGTCAACTAATAAAATGTGTATCATATTATTACCAATATTTTGTCAGTTGACTAATTGCTAATAACTTTTACAGAAATCGAGATAATTGAGCTCAAAGTTGACGGTTTGGGTCGGCTTCCATTAGAGAAAATAGGTATTTCTCTAATTCAACTACCTAAAAGACCTCTGATTTGTGAAATTGAAATTCACAAAAAGAAACAAAGTTAAGTACTCACTCGTTGTCCAAGAGTCAATGTCCTTAATGCATTTTTCAGAAATCAAATTTCGCAGTGAATCTTCATTTCCATTAGTGAAATGAACAATCAAGAAGAGTAACAGATAAAAATTCATGTTGCTTTGTGTTACAAACTGGTGGGTTTTTGTTTTTTAAAAGCTACTTGGTTATCATTTAAACTTTGTTTTGAATGAAAAATTAAGATGATATAGTCTCTAAAAAGTTGAAAAACAATCAGAACTTCCTTGTGAAACCAAACATTCAGCAACGGAAAACGAAGGAATTACCACAAATATTCCTTAAATGAGGCGTCATGAGATTCCTCGAAGTTCCTTTTTGGAGTTAGGGTATGCATACTGACGTAACTGTGTACAGTGTTTAGTGTTTACACAGGGCTATGCTATCGTGTCGCTTTTACATATACCGTAAAATTTGTATTAGAAGGGCCGCCCCTTCTATTGTTCCAATGTACCTTCGGAGAGCCCTTCTATTGCAGGGCCCATCAATTAGAGGGAGCCCTTTTATTTTTTCGGCCATTTTTTCCGAAAATTTTTATAAAAAGAAACGACCTATCAACTTCATCAAATTGAGCAAGCTTTCGAGCAAAAAAAGAGTGTTTATAAGAAAACGTACGGAAATATTTAATTGAACCTTTTTCAAGGTGCTCTTCTATTTTTCCCCAGCTTGCGCCACTGTAGCTCAGCTAGTAGGGGCGCGGCACTTCCAGCGTTTGGTCCACAAGTTCAACTCCTCAATATATGAACAGAATTTTGGGAAAGTTACTTTTTTCGAAAAAAAAAACGAACATTTCCAAATATTTACTTTCAAATTATTCTGTCCATTTTCCCATACATTTTCAATTCTATCAAAACGAACCTATCATCCCATCACTTTCCATTTCCATTCCAAAATTAAAACAAATTTGTTCCGTTCAGGGTTTTTGTGCCCTTTTTGTTTTATATCAAAGAAAATCATTCAACGGTTTAATTTGAAGATTCCATGGCAATAAGATCAAGTTATCATAAAAATCGGTGTGATAAGGAAGTTGATGAATGGAAAACTTGATAATATCGATCTCAGACAGCTTCTGGAGTGTTGATTACAAAATTCAATAATTCCAGTTTCCTATTCAAGTGTTCCTCGACGTTATCAGACAAAAAGGTGTTATAATGATGACGTTTGAATGATTAGAAAGTTTACATAAGTGATAAAAGAAAAGTGTGTATACTAAATATAACGAAAAAAGACAACCAGCGGTCATTTCTTTGTGAATCTATTGTCTTTCAAGTGACCCGAAACTCTCCGTTTTCCTTTTCTGACTCCTCTTGTCTTCTGTCAGTTTGGAAGTTTGGTTTCTGAAAAGGATTATAGTTCCAAGTTTTGAGTTTTCCATGATTCTTGATGACCATTATCAAAGTGATAATAAAATATTTATTTTTTGATCTACCTTCGTTCCGAAAGTTTCTTCCATCAACATACTAGTTGGAATCATAAAACTTTCGTCTTCTTTTTCTATAATTCTTCTTCTCTATTCTCTCTTTTCTTCTTTTTTATTTCCTGGTTATGAACATAGTTATTCTTGTTATTTGTACTATTCAGTCACTTTTTTCTCGATCATACTAAATAATGACAGTGTCTCGGAGGTTCAATTGTCGTCGGTCTAGTCAGGCGGATTTCTCCCAATATTCCCGGATCCCTTTTTCCTTCATACAGTACTATAGCTTATCTGCTTTGTAAATATTTGACTTTATCAAATGTTTTTTATTTATCAAGTTTCAGAACAACGAATGGCGTCATCCACAGCACCACCGGTGGATACCTCACTCCAAATTATTGGTTACGTGGCACTTCTTCTCTCATGTTGTGCTTTCGGAACAATGTTTGTTCCTTTGAAAAGGAGGAATTCTAAAGATGGTAATTGAAAGAAGCCGTTCAAAAATCACACCAATTTTCCAGGATTTTTTGTTCAGTGGATTGAATGTGGAGTGATTTTTATTGTGGGATGCATTTTCTATGTGGCACGCGGCTTCCCGAAATTCGAGCCTATCGCATGTATCGGAGGTTTTTTGTATGCAACTGGTAAGAAATTCTGGAGGAGAACTTCATTATCTGGATACCTGTGAAAGATATCAAAAATGTGATTTTGATATCTCTCGCATGAATCGAGATAATTGAACTCAAAGTTGGCAGTTTGGGTGGACTCCTATAAGAGAAGATACGGTAAAGTAATCTTCGTTTTTTATAGGGAATGTGTTCAGTGTTCCGATTGTGGAAGGCATTGGAATGGGAGTGGGATTTCTGATCTGGACAAGTTTACAAGTACTGTTTTATTGCAGTTTTAAAAAATCAATTCAGAAGATGATTCCAGATTATTGTTGGCTGGGGAGTAGCGAGATTTGGACTTGGTCAATGGATCGCACCACAAAATGTGAAGAACGATGTGTTGAACTATGTCGGCATATCTCTAACAATTGTGAGTGGAGTTCTACTGATTTTTGTGAAACATGTTGAGCCGGAACCGGAGAACGAATATTCTGTGACAAGTAAAGAAATGGAACATCGAGATGAAATTGAACTGAGGACCAGTGACTCTGAACGTTCTTCATTTGATATGACTGGATTGGCGAAAAAAGTCCCGTAAGAATTAAATTCTTCAGAACTTTGTTATCCAATTTTTTGTTCCAGATTTATCCTTATGGCTATGGTGCTTGCGTGTCTCCATGGTCTCATGATGACTCCAATTGAATATCTGAAACAGGAAAATCCCCCAACTGATAATTTTCAAGGTAAGTAGTTGATATTGTTTTTAATAATTGTATCATTTATGTTTGTAGTTTTCGACTACATCTTTCCATTCTACACATCCGTATTTCTTTTCTCAACGATCTACTTTCTTTCCTACTGCGTACTCCTCCGTCGGAGAGCCTACGTGGAAAGGAATCTGGTAATCCCTTCAATTGGATACGGCCTGTTGTGGACAGCAGGTAAATCTAACGTTAAATCTTATAAATCATCCAAGTCCATTTTAGGAATGACACTGTGGTTTGTCTCAAGTGACAAGTTATCTCAAGTGGTTGCTTATCCATGTACTGCTCGTCTTCCACCATTAATCAGTGGAGCCCTTGATGTTTTCGTATTCAAGAGTATTCAGGTTAGGGTTATTGTTCGAGATATCTGTGTGCAGTTATCTATATTTTCCAGGGAAGCCGATCATTCACAGTATTGGCCATTTCGTCAATCGTTGGTGTTGTTTCAGTGATACTGATTGCTTTATCCAATCAAATATGATCGAAAATTCGAAACTGATTGCCCATTTTGATCTCAAAACTAATGTTGTATTCTTGAAAGAATAAAAGATTTCTATGTTTATAGTTTTTGCTTCGAAGTATTCAACTAAATATTTATTTTAAAAAGAATCATCTTCAACCTAATTATGTATAACGTAAGGTTGAGTACCGAAGAACTTGTAATTGAAGGACCCCCGAACTGACAAGGTTTAGTCAATTTACCTCGGTTACTGTAAAAGATATAAAAAAGTTGTCAACTGAAAAATTGTTTATCATAATTTTCCAAACATTTTATCAGTTGACCCATTTTTAATATCTTGTATAGAAATGAGATAATTAATAATTCAAACTCGACAGTGTCCTTTTATTACAGGTTTTACGGTACTTCAATTTTAACAGAGTATATGTAACAGGACATGACCGAGCAGCGGCTTCTTAAATTCCAAGAAAAAATGTCCTTGCAAAAAGTGGGCAGAGCTCAAATTGCAAGCTGCGCACGGTTTTGCCGCACAGTTTGTGTCATGACCGTGCAAAAATGTGCGAGAAAACTGTGCGGCAAAATTTTGTACAGTTTGCAATTTAGGTTCCGCCCACTGAATTCGCGCACTTTCTCAGTGTTTTTTCCCGGAATGTTTTTTTCCTTGGAATTTGAGGGTTTGTTTGTTTTGGAGACCCCGGAATTTCCGGGGTCTCTTGTTTTGAACGGGAGCATGAATGTGCGCTCGCTCGCACTCCGACAGAATTCGAAAAAATTTTGCAGGACTGTATAACCCAAAATCGATCGTTTTGCGCTTTTATTTGTTTATAAATTGTATTATCTCCAACTGAAAAAATGTGTTGAATGTTTTATCGTCTCTTAATCAACTTTTATATTCACCAATTTATTGACTTTCCTTCGTTTTCAGAACATGTCACTCTTCGGGTCTTCAACTCCACAAAAAACTGCTTTCACTTTTCCCACACCAGGTGCTCCAGCAACTTCCGCTGGCTCGTTGTTTGGAAGCACGTATGTTTTCTTGAATATTTTGACTTAATGTCAAATGGTACCGCTTTTAGAACTCCATCAAAGCCACTGTTCGGGTCAACAACTCAAGCATCGTCGACTCCTTCACTTTTCGGTACTACAACTACTTCCACACCCTCTGGAGGATTGTTTGGAAGTATGTTAATTTTGATTTAAAAGTCTTAAATTACAAAAAGTGCAAAATATCTGATTTTCAGAAAGTACTACATCAACTACCACAACGTCTTCTGCTGGAACTCTTTTCGGAGCTGCCCCTACTACCACTACTACTCCCAGCTTATTCGGTTCATCTAACACTGGTGAGTTTTGTAAATTACCATCATCATCATCATCATCATCACTTCTTTTCAGTTCATAGTGTAGTTTCCAAGTGTTGTGTGGTATTGTTGAGAGAAAAAGGATTTTGGGAGGAGGGAGTCTTTATGAATACGGAATAGTTGTTAATTAAGGAACTCAGTTTGTAATTCTGAATAGAAATGTTATAGTTGACACTCACTAATAGAACGGTTCTGATTTAAGAAATCTTTTGATCTACCGATGATCTATCTGCTTGCGCTTATTGGGCGCTATCCATTTGTCAATTTCTTTCTCTCCTATCGCTCTTATTCTCTCGTAGATATTGTGTCATCCTTTTTCCTTCACTTTATGTCGTGATACTGTGATCGCTGTTATTTTCTGCTGATTTTCATTGCATTCCCAAGCCGTTAGCATACGCATCAGGGTCTATTTTGTTTCGAACGGTTTGCCAATGAGCAGCAAGCGACGGAATGCATTGCTTACCATTGACTTGAGTCTTGTTCCGCCGGATTCTGAATTTGGACGGAAGTTGGTAGAAGAACGAGAAGAAAAACCACCAACGGATGCCGAATCCACTTATGGAGGTAAATGTATGGAAGCTCCGGGATTTCAAAGAGAGAAGTCACTCTTTTCAAGAATTATTTGCTGTTCTGATGCTGCTTATAACCGCATGATTTTCACAATATGTTCAGTGTTAATAGTAATTGGACGTTCAACTACTTTAGGGGTCTTCGGAATGTCGGGAACGAATACAGGAACTTCAACCGGAGAACCGGTAGCAAAATCTCCTGTCATGACAAGAATGGCAGCATTCAGATCAGGAGCTGTCGGCTCGGGAAGCGTTGGAGCCGCGCCATCTCTCGGTTCTCTGTCGGTGGCGACAACAACTCCATCTTCATCCTTTTTGACACCAAGTACATCGAATTTGACTTCAGCAGCCTCGCGGCCACCCTCAATTTTCAACCCGGGAGGTTGGTTCTGTGTTCAACTTTTGCCTGGGAGTTTTCGTGATAGCTTTCATACTTTCTATGACAGGTGGTGGATCTTGGTAGATCAACTTTTGATCCTAAACGTTTTGGACTTCGTAAAAACTAGCTATGTTTAGGATTTGTTATCAAAATGAGGCCATAGCGGGGATTAATAGTCATTTGCGAACATTACAAATTTTAAAATTACTTTTCTAGTTAATTTTTAGGTACCACTGGATTTGGATCCACGACAAATACCACTACCGGAGGTTCACTTTTCGGATCAACGCTCTCAAAACCCACCACTGGTGGACTATTCGGATCTAGTACTTCAACATTCGGTGGACTTGGATCAACTCAGCAGCAACATCAGCAGCAGCAGTCGGTTGTCCAGCAACAACAAGTTGTTCAGGTGAGTTTTAGAAATTAAATCACAAAACTAATTAGACTTTCTTTCAGCAATACCATCCATTCGTGAAAGCATGCGGAGATCCAAAAATTCTTGGAAACGACAACGATGGAATGATTGCGAAGCTGAATCAAGTCGCAGCATCTCTCGGCGTTGGAAAGGCTCCATATAAAGACGGAAATCAGATTCAAACGTTCACAATGGAAGGCAACTTATTCGAAAAGTTCAAAGGAATCGGATATAACAAAATTTCGGAACGAACAGACGACGAGGGACATGTCACTTTAGTTTTGAAACATCCGATCGCTAACTTTAACACAGAAGAGCGAAAAGATAAGATTCTAGAGGTTATTAAGACAATTCTGGCCAGTGGACCTAATGTCGAAGTTCGTTATGCTCCGGGAAGCTCTATGCGATCACTCCCAGACGGATTCACTGAGATTTGTATAATTGCCAAAGAAGGAGGTTTCGTGGCGAGCGCCATCAAATTAGCCCAAGCTCTCAATGACACTCCCAAGCTGACACAACTCGAAGCACAATTGCAAGTCGATAAAGCAAGAGTTCTTCCGAAAGTTGGAATGTCGAAAGCACAACGTGATCGTTATTTGGAGACTGTCCCAGATGGTTAGTTATTGATGCTGATGTCTTTCAAATATTTATGTCATTTTTTTCAGGCTACGATGAGCAGATTTGGAAACAGGCAATTAGGGAAAATCCTGCGCCAAAGAAATTGCTTCCGGTTCCAGTTCGTGGATGGGAAGCCCTGAGAGAGCGACAAAGGGCTCAAGTCGGAGAATCGAAACTTTTCAATGAAGCAATTCAATCTCTCGTTGATCGAGTTGAATTCACTTCGGTATCGAATTAATTGGAGGAATCTAGAATTTATTGTTTTAATTCCAGAATGAGCATGCACGAGCACTTATTTCAATGGAGAATATTCGCAATCGGCACAAAACACTTTCTTATCGAATCATTCGCATTCTTCTCGCTCAATGGATTGCTGCCCGTTTCTCTCGTAATGTCGACGCCGATGAATCTGCTATCGAAGGAAGATGCGATACGCTTGCCCAAAAAATCAACCGCGAATATCAAGTTCAGGTCAGTGTTTTGAGATTTTAAAGTTTCTATCGTAATGTATGGTTTTTTTTTTCAGTTCTTCGTTGATCAGTTTTACCAAATCTTGGAAACGAAACCTGATAAATTACAAGAATCAATGTGGACGATGTTTGATATGACAATGGAGGATGAGCATTATGCTCGTAAAGTGCTCACTAAGTTCGTCAACATTTGCTGCGGGCTCTTCGAAAAGTCAAACGAACAAATTGAGAGCCTCGAAGCATGTCGACGTGCTCTTGAAGGATAATTAATTCATCGAAAGCTTAAAATGATCTTCTATTGTTTTCTTCTCATGTCAATCACTTTGTTTCGATTCTTCGTTGTTTTGAATGATATTTTTTCTTGCGATTCTCTATTTGTGTGCACAGAACAGTATTTCCTCGATTTCGAACTATTTAAATATTTTCCAAGAAACTGTACTATTACATTTCCCCGATTCCGATGAAATTCTCAGGTTTTTTTTCCGGGATCACTTGCTTAGTTTTCAACCATCCCGATTTTGGCTTTCGTTTGTTAGTCCACAAGATTCTCATAAATTGTACTTTAAATTTATGTACTTTTTAATACTCCAACTTCTTTTCCTCATTCTCAATGAATTCTATCTTTGACTTATTCGAAGTTTCCAACATCTGTAATTTTTCTGTAACAATATTTTATACTTCAAGTTTTTTTTCGACTTCTGCGGACTAACTGTTTTTCTATGCGGAAAACATGGGTGAAGAGGATTCGGTGGAGAAGCGCCGGCAGCGATCAGAGGAAGCTCGACGCGCTGCTCTGAAGCTGAAGGACCAACAAAAGAAAGAAAGAGAACGTCAAATTGCCGCTGATATCGCTAATGTGGACAAAAAAGCAACGAAACGAATTGTTTTCAATGATTCAGACGGCGAAGAAGACGAAGAACAGACGGCGGAATCAGGCGATAAGAAATCGTCGTCCGGCTCTTCTAAACGTCCAAAGCTTTTCGATTCTGAAGATGAAAAAGATGAAGATATAGATGGAACCACATTCGAAATCAAAAACCGACATTCTGGATCAAAAGGAGAGCAGCTGATGAAGTTGGAATCGCGATTCAATAGTGACCCACGTTTCAAGCTAGATGATAAATTTGCTGAAAGCGATTCCGATGATGACAGGAATGGAGAAGAGACTGCCGAGAAACAAGAAATGCAACTGGAGAAGGACAAAAATCGCGAACTTCTTTCGAAGATTCTAGGAAAAAGTGTTGAGGAGAAGAAACCGAAAACAGCTGAAACCGCTACACTGAAAGCTCGTCCCTTCACTCGTTTTGATCCTGAAAATCCTGAACACGTGGAATGGATGAAACAGTTTGATGCTGCGAAAAACCCTCAGAAATCGTCGAAAAAATCAGCAGATGTAGAAGAGAAACCTCAGGATTCAGAAGACGATGATGATGATGAAGAAAAGGAAAAAGATGCGGAGCAAAAAGAGGATGATGAAGAAAGCGGAAACGAGGAATTTGAAAAAGCTGAGATCTACTTCAAAATGGATGAAACGTTTTCAGCAGAGGTTTGTGGATAATTGGATAGTTTTCTTTTCACGGTTTTCAATTGCAGATGAAAGGACGGAAAGAGACTGGAGAACCATCTTCAGGCGGTTTTTCTTTCCTATCTATGATGGGAAGAACTTATGACAATGATCCGGAAACAGAAGAAATAGAGGATAGTACAAGTGCTGAGAAGGAAGAGAAGAACACCAAAGAGAAAGTAAAAGTAGAAAAACAGCTAAAGAATGTTGAGAAGGGATTATTAAAAGTGAAAGTGAGCACAAAGTTTTTTGTCGATCCTCTTTCTGATGAGAAGTTGAGAAGTATGGCTGCGAATTTCCGAAGAACCCAAACTCTTGAGAAAGTTATCGATAATTGGGCGCCTCATCGTGATGCTATTTTTAAGGTGAGTATCACATCTTCATATCCACGCAAGCGACACGTCTCCGTCGTCTTTGTGTGGTCAAAACATTCTAACCGTCTGCACGTCCATCTTTCTCTAGCTATTTCTGTCTTTTACCTACATTCCCTACGCAAACCCAGAAAACTATTTTTTTAGTCCTCGTGATATAATTTAAAAAAACGAATATCAAAAGGGTCCTTTCTTTTCGGAATTTTTAAATTTGAAAATTTGAAAAAAAAACACACAAAATCAAGGATCCTAATGCTTTGAAGCGTTCTCCTTTAAGACCTAGTATTTTACCGAGAAAACTAATATTTAATTTTTTTTCAGTTATGGAAAAAGCAACGTCGTGACGCCGTCAAAAAACAGAAAGAATCGTTTTTGACAAACGGAAGAAGGAAGAGAAAAGCGGAAGATGCTAATGGAACTGTGAATAACGAATAGTACTTTGATTTTAGCTATTTGGAAGTTGTTGTTTGTTTTTTGTTGGAATTTACTTTGTTTTCATAAAATATTCACCATGAAATCCGAATCTTGAAATCTCAGTTGTTATGGCCTCCATCCATATTTATGTTTCTTCTATTTTCTTCTGAATTCAGGTTAATTTGTATTCCCAGATGTCTTTCGCTGATATTCTTGATGCGAAACCCAAAGAGCCAAAACTTTATCAAATACTTGGATGCGATGGAAGAGCAACAGTGAGTTTTCAGGGATTGTATCTATTCTGGTATTCTGTGTTCCAGACTGATCAAATCACCGCTGAGTATCGATCAAGAGTCAGAGATTGTCACCCGGACAAAGTCATGAAGGGAGAGGAATCTACTGCCACAACAGAAAAGTTCGTGGAACTTCAGAATGCCTACTCAATTTTGACAAGTGAGACGAGTCGGAAATCTTACGATTCCTGGCTCCATTCTCCATTTCCAGTCACTTTTGAAGAATTCGCAAAGTCTCAGGATAAGTTTCAAATGGTAATAGTCTGCTTCAGTTGATTTAAGTTTTTTTTCGTTCTTCCTTGGTTATATTTTCTTCCAAAAGGAGCGAAAATTAACGTTTCAGTCGACACATTGGGCGGTTCCAAAAACTCAATCATCTATCAAGGATATACCATCTGAATCATTAACAGAAAAGTTGTCTACAGATTCAGATAAAACTAGTTCTCGTTGGGCTGATGGTGATCGATATCAATCATCGACTGCTTCGGCATTTCGAAACTACGAAGTTTGAATCAAAAATACATGCAAAAATTATGATTTAAATCAAACAATTCCAATTATGATACTCTGAAAATATGTCTAAATATGTGTTGTGAATAGCTGGAAATAAAGTTTCATATATTTTATTGTGTAATTTTGTTTTTCTTCTTTTGGTAATCGTCATTCTCGATTTTTTCTCTATTTGATTGCATTCTCCAGGAGTCGAAGGTACTCATGGTTTCAGATTCTACTCACTTGTAGGCCGATTCTACAGTCTTTGTATGAACGGTGAGTTGCGCTTGAAATTCTGAGGGACAGTTATTTAAAAGTTACGAAATTTTGAAAGTCTGAAAATCCGAGAATTTGAAGTTCTGAAATTATGGTGTTTCGAAAGTCTAAAAATCTGAAAGTTTGAAGTTACGAAGTTCCGAACTTTTGAAATTATAATATTCTGAAAATCTGAATCCATTTCCATAATTTCGTGAAAGTTTTTTCAGCCTACTCGTTTGACGGTCTTGTTGTTGCTGCTCTTCTATTCATTTGCACCTGTGCTTATCTGAAACGCGTTCCACGAGTCAGTAGCTGGTTGCTGTCCGAAAAGAAAGGATTCTTCGGAGTATTTTATAAAGTAACTCTATAATCAGCTTGAATTTCAAAATGATACATATTTTCCAGGCCGCTGTCATCGGTATCCGTCTTCACTCATTCGTAGCGCTCTCCTGCCTTTCTGCTGCAGTCTACGTTCTGTTTGTCCGCTAAAAAATGGTTCAAGGAAAGCTGAAGCAAAAGACCGTTCTTCCAAAGGGTGTCAAACAGAAGGTCAAGAAAGCCAAGAAAGAGGGACCAAAGAAGGGAAAGTTCTTACATATTGCTCCAAAGAAGGCACATATCATTGAAGCGGTGAGTGTGATATTAACCTAACCTTCTGATACAGCTGTTCCGTTTTCAGGAAAAAGTTTCTGCCCACGTCACAAAGATCATTAACGACAAGAACGAAGAGATGGTGAAGGGACGTGCCGATACCGCTGTTGGTAAAAACAAAAAATAATTAACTACTCTTGGGTTTCTATCGTCTGATTTTTATTGTTGTTTCTGAAAATAAACTGTTAGCCAAGAATGTTGCGTATTGCTCCTGTTGTAAATATAACTTTCATTCAGGATAAATAAGATTGGATGGTTCTTTATAGTAGTCAGACATGCAGCGGGTGCCCTGTAAGATTTTGAAGATTTTTCGACTGATATTGAAAGCTGTCGGACCCTTAAGGAGATGACTGCCACGAAGTTTTTTAGCGGAAAGATTCAGATTTTAAAGGTCTACCTGTGATCCACGATAGATGTCGTTTAATTGAAACTTTTTTCCTAGAGCATTTCCTTTATTATTTTTTCCACTTGAAAAAAAAGTAGGTTGATATGTACCAAGAAGATCACACATTCAAAAAGTGCGCGGCGTCTTTCACAAATCAACAATCCAATTCAAATATACTCTGGTCAACCGTCTCACCCTTAACTTTTTGCTGGTTTTCTCTGCTCGACGCCCACGAAATCATTTTTTAATGCTCTTTCCCACTTTGTACCCCATCAAAATGAGCACAGATCGTCTATCCCACCATTTTTTCTGCTGATAATCCTACAAATGTTACTTTACAACTGGTGAGTTATGTAATACTTTAAAACCTGTAATAGACGGGCCCCATACTGTCCTATGTTTCTTGGCTCCTTCGCAAGATATCAAAACTGTGTCAACTAACATGGTTGTGATATTACGATCAAGAATCCAACAGTTGACAACTTTTTAAATCTTTGACAGGTACCGAGATACAAATTTACGGGACCATTCTATTACAGTTTTTTACGGTAATTCAAAAACTTTGTCAGAGTTTTCCAGAATAGGCAGGATTTTTCAATGAAAAACTTTTCAAAGTTGATATTTTTATCCCCAACTTTGAAATTATGTTTCCTATACTTTCCCTCAAAGTTTCCTTGGTTCAGTCTCCAAGTTTTCAAAACTCTGGTAAGTACGGTAACCCAATGTTTTTTGGGTTTCTCATAACTTTGTTGTCCGGCACTTTGTTCATTATATGGAACATCTATTTTTTGGCTGATTTGGGGTCAAAAAGCAGAAAAACCTAGAAAAATGTTAGTCTCAATTTTCAGATTTTATTCATGTTCTTTTGACTACGGAAGTTGTTAACTCTGACTTTGGAATATTCGATAACACATCTATACTTTTTCTGATTAAAACAAGAATCAATCATAATTACGCTGTATAAAAGAAACATCGCATAGATTTTATTTGAGTCGAATACGTGCTGTCACAGAGACATCTGGACACCTAGTTTCGGACAAGTGACCCAGTTTCTGTAAAGGAGGATATTTTTCTCACGGACAAAATATAAATCTCACTGATCAGCTGCTTCCGTATGAATATATTTCATTTACCGTAAAACCTCTAATAGAACGACACCCGGAACGTCCACTTTGAGCCTATATATCTCACTTCTTTTGAAAGGTATC